TACGGATAGCGGTTAAGTGATAATACACTCCACAAAGATACAAATATACGTAGGTTGATGTCTCTCTTCTATCTCTGATGGTACATAATCTCTAAAATCTGCCTACATAACATTTTTCACTCCTCTCATAAAATTCTATACTAACTTCTATAGCTCATAACTGAATGAAAGTCTCTATATCGCTATAAACCCACCATATGAGTGTGTACCTCTTAAATAAGAATCCTAATGTATCTCTCTATATATGTAATGATAATAACTTTCTCTTTGACTTTTGAATATTCTACTACTGTAATGAGAGTCGCAAATCTTTACGTCTTTTTGAAATATATAGATGGCTCTTGTGCAGATGTGTAGTATATTTTGTTCTCTGTAGGTAGAGGAACCGTCCTTATCAATGATATATACTGTCTTTCTATATATGCAGTAAAAAGATCGCTCTTTACCACTCAAACGGAGTTTCACTAAGTATCCGGATTAAACGAGTCAAATAATGTGATAGTTGTGTTGGAAGAGCTACCTGTCCAAATGCTAAAATGAAAACACAAGAAAATATAGTATTCTGAAGATATCACAAATATACACTCCTCTCCGCAGACTATAATCACTCAAGACGGATATTTCCAAACATATGCTCTGATACTACATGATGAGACAATTAGAGCACAAAATAATCCATATTATATTGGATATAATAGTATCTCACAGAGAAATAGTGAATCAGTGATACCACTAGTCAGTATAAGCCATATCTGTCTGACAAACATTGTCATCCACTTATACAAACGGCGAGACGTGACTTGTTAAGTCTCGAAGAAGCCTCATATGTGTGTGTGATTTATATCATCTCTCACGACAATAGTGAGCTAAAGGTGTAAGAACTTACTTTGTCTGAGTGCGCTCTAAATAAGAGTATAATACCACATACGACCATATATAGATTCAGAACACAGCCATCTAGTGGTTCAACCAGAATGGGGAAATGAGTACGAATCCTATTCGATTGTCATATATAACAATAGGTGTAAGGGAAGACTCCTCAATGTCGCATAACTATCGTGTCGATTTGGGAAGTAAATGCGCAAAGTATATTCCTATCCATCATACATGTTGACGCGTGGAGGCATTATCATCATGGTGTGTCCACTCATTCTAGCTCGCGGTGTTAATAGATCTATATGAATCTAGCAATTACGAAGTTATGTACTAATTCCAAATGTGCAACCAATCGCTGTAGATGATCCACTATGGAGGCATCTGTTGTGAGTGTCGATAAGAAGACTATAGACCTAATTGAGTTAAGGCACAAAACCCCGCTGTGTGAAAATTTCAAAGGGGAAATTAATACATTTATGCGCAAGATCCCAATACAAGAGAAATCAGATACAATTCTTAGAACTGGACCTCAATTATTAGCGGCATATTGCAAATTTTCGAAGGATTTGAAGAGGAGAAGCTAACTCTCGGATGCAATACTCCGTACCTCTAGAATTATGGTAAGATCTCTGCTTAATCTTCTCGATATAGGAGACTCTAGAGTGCAAAAGTAATGAGATAGACAAGTCGCCCGTTGGCCAGTATGATATCGGGACGCGAATGTCGTTGCGCGCGAAATCAGTAGATCATCATCTCACTTGCATGCAAAATCAAATACACTCACACGCCCCAAACATAGCGAGCTACAAATTGAGAGATTACATTCTCTTTGGTTCAGAACATATCCAGAAACGCAAAAACCTAATTTTGAATAACTAATACCAAAACCACGGATCTGAACAATATGTTGGGTCATAGAGCTTCTGAGAGGTTGATTTAGATATTGAGAGCGAAGGAGCACGTTCAGATCGTGGGTTTTGGGTGCTTAATCCCGTGTACAACTATCAAGCAACATCCAAGATTAGCTCTCTTCACTATCTAGAGAACTCAAAACCTCGCAATATATGCACAACAATCAAATAGTTCATCCCTGTCCTAGCATCAATAGCTAGACTAATCCTATATCTTTTGTCTTTTTTTTTTTGTTTTTCTATTTATTCTCCCATTCGTAGTATTTAATAGTTTGAGTCAAACGCGCCTAAAGCATAGACTGGATGTAAGTATCACATAAAGAAGAGAAATTTGGAATTATAAATAAGTTTCAATTCACAATCGATGTTAAAGATGGTAGCCGTTCTGTTTAATACGTCGCTGTTGACCTCCCACTAAGGCTCGCCTTATAATGGGTTAACGCGTAGATCTTTGAGGAAGTCGGCCCGAGCACTAGGCTGTATTACGCTCGGTTCGACGTAGCATTGGAAGAAGTGACAAACCGTCGAGCCTTGAGCATTTCAGTCATACTGTTACTTTATACATAGGCTGTTAATCTAATCACTTTAATTCCTCACTGCGCACGGCTCTCGCGGAATATTTCACCTTCAATATTCTCTCTCATCTCTCATAGTGCAAAGACAGAAACAAGAGAATTACCGGGTGAACAAGAAGCCTTTCGTGTCTCTCGATCTAGTTTGTTCTGTGAGCCTCCCTCGTAAAGTGGATTGGGAACGACCAATGGCTTCGAACGTCAAGCCCATTAACTTAAGTTTGTATGACAACAGGCTGAGAGAAAGCAAAGGACTATGAAGAAATTATGCGAAAGAAAAAGAAAGAGAAGAATTCAAGAGCGACAGGCTGCAAAGCAGAAACACTGGAACGGTGTCGTAGTGAATTCGATTTTCCGTTTTTATTCTTTCCTTTTTCATGTTTTTTTTTTTTCCTGAGGAGATGAGGGTATTGGCTTTTTAATTTTGTTTTATTTTTTGCTCGAAATTTAATTATTATTTTTTGATTGAAATTTATTTATGAAAGGCGATGGAGTAGGCGAGGGGAGGGAGAAACTTTTTAGCGTATCAAAAAAATGTATTTAATTGAGAATTTGAAACAATTTAATGGATTTATAAATTCATAGATTTTTATAGAGTTTAATTGATTTGTAGAGATTCTATATAAAATTTTAATTCAATTCTCTCATAAATCTCATGGAGAGATGTGAAATTTGTGGATGTTTAAAATACATTACGAAATCTCTTCAATTCCCTCTAATTCCTCAACTTTCTCAAATTCTTTAAAATTAATTTCTAATTGAATACATCTTGAATATTATAAACTTCTTTAAAATCCTAATTGAATACACCAAGATTTCTAATGATTTTAATAAACTATCTTAAAATTTTAATTAAATACGCATTGAATTTCAAATAATCACTTAAAATTCTGATTGAATACCCCTAGATTCATTAAAATAATTAAAATCTCTCAAAATCTTAGTTGAATACACATCCCTTGGTATATCATTTTATGCATCAAAGTTTGTTTCTAACGCATTGAAAAATTGATCGAGAAAAGGGCAGTTGGGTTTTGGCGGCCTGCTTTTGGTGTGCGTCATATCACACATAAAATATAATATGATTAGTGTCTCACATTCACCATCATTACAAGCAAGGGACGTATACTCCTTTGAATGATTTAATATAGGAGTGTGATATTTACACATCGTATTTTACTTTTCACATATTTTTCTAATTTTTTATCGTCGGATCGGATGAAATGAAGAAAATCAACGGATAAAAATTAATAAGAGATGTGTAAGAAGTAAAATAGGGTGTGAGAATAACACATCCCTTAATATATTGTATTTATACTCTTTATTGACAAAAAAAGTTGTTCTACCATTTTTTATTTTTATATAGTATGCTTTTGCATCTTCGATTTGTGATGATAGTTTTGAACTAGCTGATAGTTCAAATTGTTGTTCTTGTTGTCTTGGTTACTTCGGTTGAATACAGATTATGTTAGATTTAATATTGCAAGTTTTTTAATTGTTTTTACTTTAACCATTAAATTTTTGGTAAAAAATACAATGACAAAAATGTAACGATCAAAACTCTCAACTATAAAAGATTAAAATCCTTTTGATTTTGCATAATTTAACAAGAAGGATGAGCTGTGGACTGAGTTTGCATGTGAGCCAACTCACTAATTCCACCATATATTGCAAAGAAATTTGTTGAAAATGTATATATATTCATATACGGCACGTGCATCTTGTTCCCCTGTCACGTGTCAGCTTGGTTTGACAGATTTTTGGTTGGGCTTTTGTTTCCAAAGATTCTGCATCCAGAAGTTTAGAACTGCTGAACAGATAATTGTCCAATAAACAAAAAATTTGACCAAGAAAGTCCGCCCACCAACAAATTGATTTTTATATCAATCAACCAATCCTTGCAGGAACCAAGGTCGAAGATGAAGACTTGTTAATAAATGTATTAGGTAGACGTTCTATTCATGCATTGAATTATTTAGAATATTTCGTTGGTACGGAGCCAAGCTCGAGTCTTGGAAACAACCTTTTTGTAAAACAAGAGTAAGATTATGTATAATAGATGTTTTTCTCAGCCGCCGTCAAGCGGAAAGCCTTGTTGGCTTGGGGTCGCCGTTTTTAAGTACTGAGCGGAGCTCCTACCAATCTACAAAGAGCAATTGTAGTGGAAGTAGAACTTTACGTGACAAGTTTACATCATGAGGTCATCAAGAAGTGGAGAGTTTAGCTTGATGGCCCCAGAGGCCACTAACTTGAGAACACTTTTGCCTACAGCAACAAACACACAAAAACCAAGCACATGTAAATTCATCAATGATTTACAAGATTGCAGGTAGCAGCAAATCGTGCACAAATCAACAAGCGATCCACATCGTATCAAACAGGACCTTAAATTTATCAATGGCGGGCGGGATTCATGGATTCAGGACGACAGATAGCGAAAGATGAAGAGGCGGTTTGAGGTGGTTATGAAGAGATAATGTGATACCGAAGCTCTACTAGTTCTAAGCGGAAACTCCTTTCGCTCACCCACTCTCCGGTCTCGCGGAGCTTTTTCTCCACGGGCCCTTCAAACTTGCTAGGGAAGTTCATCATAGACATGTCGGGACAGAAATAAACAGGGGGTAGTACAGAAGGAGAAAAATGATGCGCCGAAACGATTCCTTTTAACCACCAATTTTTTTGCATTCTGCTTGTATAGTAGCAGGGCAAGGAGCTTGATTACAATCAGAACATATACTACGGCATCTGCTGCCCCGGTACACATTTAAGTTCTCGACAGGAATTAAGCTCGCCCTTCAATTCAAGGGCAGACTTCATAGTATAAAGTTTGGTAAAAATGGACAAATTATCTCGTAACTATAAGGTTTGGCACTGTCTCCTTATGTAGGTAGAGTCCTCAGCAAATGAAGTGCCCGATTCCACTGTGGTCTTTGTGATAGGACAATTCTCTTCAAAACGGGAACTGCTCCAGCAGCTATAATTGCCGAATGGTTCTCACTGTCCATGCTCAGATTATAAAGTATCGCCAAGCATGCTTCAACGGCCCTCTCACTCCCTTGTTCAATCAGTTCGACCAAAGGAAATATACCTCCTTGGGAAGCAATGGCTCGAGTGGAATCAACCACCCCTTCAGAGATTATTCTGTTGAGTTCCACAACTGCAGCTTCCTTTTCTTCTAGAAAGAATGAGGTATTTAACTGCTCCATGAGTCTCGGAATGGTCTCGTGGAGAGTTACTTCCATGTTGATTGGGTCCTCGAAATCTAGTCTGGGACCAGAAAGAGAACCAAGTTTCACCAAACAAGCAGCAACCCAATCTTTGTTGTGAAGGGGGATATTAGACTTCAGGATATCACTGAGCAATTTGGTGAAATGCGCGGAATCTATTTTTTGGCAGAACTTCTTAGAGTCGAGCAGTTTTGTAAATAACCGGGATGCTGCTGATATAGCATGACCAGCTTCTTCAACTTCAAGGGCGTATTTTTCTGGCTGTTGATTATATACTTCTGATTCCGTGTCTGCTAAATACCAAATACAAAAAGTTAAATAAGTATCAAATCTGTGAACAAACACTATTATTACTTACCTTCCAAGCAGTTTTACTATAAAGGAAAAGAATTTCCAGTACCTTCAAGAATCTTTTGCTGGAAAACAACATCTAAACCAGATTCAATATCCGCTGAAATGATGGTGTCCATGCTTGGGTCAATAACTGCGTAGAAATCAAGGATAGAAGTAGCTTTTGTTTGCAAACTCGGGGTTGGGGTCTTTAATGTCTCAACAAGGCGAGCAATAACCCCAGAGTCAAGCACATTTTTGCTATACAAACAGAAGTCAAAACTTTACTCGGTCTTTTTTTTAGAAGAACCAGATAATCATGCACTTAAAAAACAGTGAAGCTTAAACATTTGCATTTTGCGTGAAGCTATAGTAATACAAATTTTGCCTTAAACATATGATAAAATGGAGAAAAAAACAATTCCAAGAATTATAAGGCAGTTAAGCATCATAATCAACAACAACAACAACAAAGCCTTTTCCCACAAAGTGGGGTCTGCTATATGAATCCTCGAACACCATTGCCCTTGGTTCTGTGTCAAGTCGAAGCATCATAATCGAGCACAGAAAAATAAGGAGGGACATCAAACCTGGTATTAGTTTTTGACATGGACATATTAGCTATATCTCCAGTTATTTCCGCGGAACCATAAGGACCCCTAGCTGCATCCGATCCCTTTTTTGATCCATTTCGTCCATCATAAAACTGGAATGAAACAACATGCTTGGTGAGTCAATTGATAACTCTAAGGTTTCAAATACGTTATCAATAAACAATTGACCAACCTTTGACTTCATTTCTTTATTAGGATCTGAGATCCGGGCAAGAATATCCAACGCCTGCATTACATCAATTATTCGCGTGATTAACTTAAACTAGAATCACTTAAAAGATTTAGGGATTGACTAAAAATAATACGATGAATGACCTTTTCCATCAAGATGTCAGACATCTGTGGCTGCTTTAAAAGATTAACCAAAGGATCCCTAACACCTTCATCTTCAATTAACTGGCAAACAACATTACTGCATCATTCAAAACAATAAGTTTATCAGCTTGCAGAGGCCAAGTTATTTGTCACCTCATACATTTCCCCTGTTAATTTAGTTCTCAAAAGGATTTGCATTTTATTCAAAACATAAAGAAGAGACTTAAAAATAGTGAATGCTTAATTACCTGACAGACAACCTCTCTAGTGCTCGAACTGCCGCCAGTACGATGGCATTATTCTTACTGTCTAGAAGCTGTACTAAAAGGTTAACTGCCCCAGCTTCTCTGAATGCTATCCGTATATGTTCATTGATAGATGCATCAGCAATTGCCTCCGCAGCCCTTGCTATTGCAGACTCGTCTTCAAGTCCAAGAATCAAAACCAATCTAGCCACACCATCTGTCCACGGCAAAAGTGTGAGTTGTTTACCGGTGGTTAATTCAGACTGTTTTTTATCATCTTCCAGTTCAATGGCCCCAATACGAGCAAGAAACTGTTGCTGTGTCCGTCCAACAATCGCATTCATCTTGGCTTCCTCTATATTTGCGTTTTTTTCATCAACATGTAACCCAAGGAGTAATTCAGAAGCACCAAACCTGGAGGGAGTTTTATAAGTCTGTTCAATCTCCATACCATCTGGTAAACTAGGCCATGAATACAAACCCGGCCTGAAGGACTTATAAGCAGCTGAACCAATGATGGGGACGGGAACCAGACCTTCCTCCACAACAAGAATTCTATAGTACTCATCCTTACATAGTTCTAACAAAGCATTTCTTGCCTCCTTTCTAATTACTTTTGATCCTTCAACGTCAGTTCTTAAGAGCTTTGCCTGCATCATTAAAAAAGTGAATTAATCCATAGGTATCACATAATCAAAAACATTAGAAAAGGGGGATTTGTAACTATGATATAGTGATTGAACTGCTTAATACTTTGTTTCACATGTGATGTATACAAGATAATCCCAAATCAACTACTACGTATCAAAAACCATGGAAAATGAAAACCGGTACACTTAACAAAAGCCATTTGATCCAACTTGAAACTAAATCTACTACAACAAAAAATGGAAGGGGAAGTCTCACCAATTTTGGTATAACACCTGCTTCAACCATAATGCTGTGACTAAAGTGACTTAATGATAAATTTGCCAACACCCCTCCGGCTGCTTCCTTCACCTTTACGTCCTCATCATCCACGGACTTAACAAGTAACGGCAAGACATCACCGTTTGCAATTTTCCCTCTGAACTTCTCATCCACAGACAAGTTCCACAAAGTACATATAGCTTGTTCCTTCACCTGCAGAAATGTTACAACAACCTACGTCACTTTTCTACATCAAGAAAAATGTGGAAAGCAATTCCACGAGCGAAATACCCATCCTATACCTCAGGTTCCAAAGACGGTCGATTTAGCAACCCGGTTATCTCTTCAATTGCTCCACTCTGTGCTACCACATCTCTATACAAATTAACAAGGGATATCGACCTTAAAAGGCCGGCAGCAGCTTCACACGCAGAACTAGACTCTGACCTCAGCAAGTTTACAATGAGGTTTATGCAGCCAGGAAACTGCATAATGGCTTCGACATACTTCTTTCCTCCAAGTGAGTATTTCCAGAGTGCCACTATTGCCTGCTCTCTATCAAGGGAATCATTATCCAGCCCGAGCATCCGAATAAACAAACCGACATACCCATCACCCAGAGAAGTACTCTTTATCTCTTTAGTGTCCTACAAATCAAGAGTGGCGAGAATCAGAATATCAAATTTCACATTTCATCCTCATGAAATATAATCTTCTGGGTTGAATTGAATCCTCATGAAACATATTAACCACTAAAAAGATTAATGCTTGATAACAATGGAAGTATGGAGATGAAATCATGCAAACTTACAGTGGATGGTTTAAACTGTTGTGGGGTGGCATCTGCCGCACCGCCGCCGTCGCTATCACTGACCCTTGTGAGGAATTGGCGGGAAGATCGTGATTTGAGGTTGAGGCATTGGAAACGGGTTGAAGGGAAGAAGAGTCTCGGCCTTCTGTTTCTGGGTCTGGTGGGTTTAGCTGCAATGACTTCCATGTGGATAAGGGTGTTTGAGATGGAGAGTGAGGATTGGAGGAGATGAGGCTGCTTCACCGTTAACGGCGGTTGGGCTGCCGAGGCCAACATCTTGGTCCGATTGAGGCAGAAATTGGAAAGTTGCAGACTTGCAGTTAGCTTTTGGGGTTTAGAAGAAGCTTTTCCAGTTGTGGGATCTATTCAAGACTCAATCTTTAGATCATTAGATGGTTTGAGTTAATTTGTTTTTTTTGCTTTTTTATTTTTTTTATTTTTGGTGTTCATTTATATTGGTAAATATAAGATACTTCTATCTACTCATCTCTTTTTTACATCCATACAGATCTTGTTAAATTCGATCATTTAATCATATTTTTAATTTATTTGATCTGACGGTCAAAACTTAAGATTTAGCAGACAAAAATGAGCGTATAAAAGCACCACCATTTTAGTAATAATAAATTATTATTATTTTTTTCGCATAAATGCTATTTAAATTGTAGTTAACAAAATCGAACGATTTTAATTATGTTACGTACGATGAAGAGTCGTTAATCACGTGTACGAACAAAATAAATACACTAGGCACACATTGAGTTTCACCCAATTATACTAGTCACGTGGCGATATTCGTTCATTATTTTAACTTTATTCGTCAAGAAACTCCAAAGCATTTTCTGCCATGGAACTCCAACCATAGGGATAAGAAAACACAAAGACACAGAAACAGAGCACTAAAATGACCTGCTCATTCAGCTTCCAAATCCCCCAGGCGCTGCCTTCTCTCGGCCGTTCCCGGCGTTCTTCTTCTCTCCCAATCGCCTCTCAACACAGACAGCCCGACAATGTCGATCCTCAAAAGGTACCAGCTTTCTTCCTTGGTTTACAGTTTCCATTCAAATTTTATTCAGATCATTAATAAAGATCCAAACTTTTGCTTTTTCAGACAGTCGGAAGCATCAGTCAAAAGCCAATTGACTGTTTCCACCTGAAGAAATCGAACTTGGCAATTCAAGTTGGAGCAGTTTTGGCCACCGTAAGCCACTCATCATCTCTACTTCTAATCCTGCTAACCCTTTAAACTTAAAAGGTTTTCGATCATAGAAGCGCTTTTTTGGAGAAGCACTTGAAAAGTAGATGCTTCTTCAAGAAGCATTCTCAAACTCCTCCGGGAATCATTTGAATTTTTAATACAGATTTCAATATACTTCTAGTAAAACACTTTTAGCATAAGCGCATATGAGCAGAAGTTTTTTCTACATAAGCATTCCCAAACGGGTCTAATTAGTGATAATTTGGTGTCGAACTCATCCGGAACTATCTCAGCAGATTGAGCAGCCTGCATTTGCCGTCACCGGAATCAACTACGAGGAAGATTTGACATGGGTTTTAATACAGTCCGGAGTTGTTGCCTTCTGGTACTTCCTTATCATGCCGGTGAGTAATTCTTCTTCTCTTTGTACTTTTATTTTGTAACATGGAGCTTTTGAGAGAAGCACTTTTGTGTGATTGCAGCCAATCATCATGAACTGGCTTCGGATTAGGTGGTACAAGAGAAATCTCCTAGAGATGTACTTTCAGTTCATGTTTGTCTTCTTATTCTTTCCTGGGTAAGTGACTTTTCTATCATTTGGGTTTCTTCTTGATTCTCCTAAACCGCCACTCTAATTTGAGTAACTGATTTCCGCACATCCCTGTTTATCTCCGAACTTTCGAATAAATAAATCAAATGCGAATGAAGAGATATAAACATGAGCATCCGAGTTCAAATCCTCTCCCCAGCGTCGAGATTTCAAGTACAAAATGTTGTGATTCAGTTATTTTCTCCCATTGTGCAGAGTAATACTTTGGGCACCATTTCTGAACTTCAGGAAGTTCCCTCGAGATCCATCCATGAAGTACCCTTGGTCGAAGCCAGACGACCCTGACCAAATAAAAGCTGGGTTTCTAAAGTACCCATTTGCAGAACCTGAAGAGTACTCGTAGAAAATACAGATGTATTTCCGTACGCTGCGACGGATGCAGTTGAACATGTACAATGTTATATCTCAATGACACATATTCGATACATATAATGAATGTAACGAAGAATCAAACCTTAAATTCAAATTCCTTTTCGAACAAAACACTAATCCGAGAAAGCATATCTGTATCCGTCTCAAAGTTCTCATGAACATATCGCTGGTATTTGTAGATGTTAGCGGTGAATAACTTCAAAAGGATGTAAATAAACATGAAAAGTTGCACCGAAAACAAAAAACTCAAAACCAAATTAAACCTTGGAGCAAGTATTGACCTTCAACTACGCCTAGTTCTGTATCCCGTCGGGATACAGGTATAAATAGAGCTTCCTGTTCGTCGCCACCTTATTCTGGAGTAAATCAGCAGAACTTTTCTTCATCATACTCAGTTTTGTAAGACAAATTTTTAAGTCGGTACTTTGCACCGTCATCTTCTAAACCTGCTTCGCTCATCCTGCTAAGATGGGATTTTCAGAACTGGAAATCACAGTTCATTCAAAGAAAGAGCTGATAGTCGCGGGTAGTTTCTTCAACTCCAACTCCCAAGATTCCATGTTCGGGGACATGACAGCAGCACCAACAGCCAAGGCTACAACAGCAAGGGCCAGAGTCTTCTTGCACCCGATTCCCCGTGATAGCTTTCCCAATAATGTCTTACAATACTTGTCTGCTTCCTTGCTAAGCTTTTCGCGGTGTACATCCTCTGCCTCACCAGCCAATGCCTTCTTATTCTACAAGTAATAGTAGTATTCAAATAGCATAAAACAAGTTAATTAATACTTCGCGTATGACTAAATCATATAAGAAATTGTATACAAATATATACAATTAAAAGTTAATAAAAAGTACAAAGTTACCTTGCGCATAAAACTTTTGAGAGATTCCCTCATAGGATCAAGAGGAGAGAGGTTTGCAGAATGTTCCTTCCATTGGTTAGAAAGTTTCTTCAGAATAGCGACACTCACTTCTAAGTTTTCCTCGTAAACCTTGTCCTGTTACCATTTGACGCACAACACAGATATCAGATTGTTAAATTCACTAACGGTGCTGTTTCAAACCCAAACATGAATGCAATGATGCTGATGAGAAGCAGAATATCTCACCCACTGCTTGAAGCAATCAGCATGTTGGGTCAAACACCAAATGAAAATTCCAGTTGCTTCATTGGATAGCTCAGGTATACCTGCGTGAAACAGAATTATCTCAATCCCATTTTAAGAAGCTACGATTTTTCCCTACTTATGAAACAAAAACTACAATACAAAGGAAGTCAAGAAATTTCCGTACTTTCTCCTGCAGCTTTGACAGCAAAACTCATTATCTGCTGTGAAACTTGTTTCATTGCTTTGCTTCCAGGGGCGCCAGCTAGAGCGACCGCTTTTAGGGTTGGATATATAGCCTCGAACCTTTCGGTGGCCTGTAAAAAATATCATGCGTAAGTACAGTACAATGAAAATAATTTATATTAAGTGAATCTGCCCTTAATAGTAATTACCTTTACTCTAGCTGAATGCCCGGGAAAGGTAACTCCCATAAGTATCTCTAATGCAGAAGGTGGCACCAAACGCTCCCCCTTCCTAACAGCACTATTTACTAAAATAGTACGAGCCTTGGGCATAGACAGAATTCTGCAAACAAAGTAACAAATTTTAGAGTTGAAGAATGTAAAGGCAAGCAAAAATGTTTGAAGCAATAACCATCTTTTAATACCTCTCCACTAGCTGCAAAACAAGATCCCGGGACTGTGGATTACTACTTTTTCCACAGACTAGAGGCAACACATTGCGGGCCCATGCATGCAACCCAACAGCGAGGTCCCCTTGACTAGCCTACACAAGACATTTTTGACATCGATTAACATTACTATAAGAGCTAATGTTATTTTTCCATGAAGAAAGATCACTAAAACTGGTATTATATTGTTAACCACTTACCTGAACTATCATCCATATAATTACTGGAAGCTTATCTTGTCCTTGATACTTTGAATTTTCTCTCAGTGTTGGCAATATACTAATCAAGACATCGGGTTTTCTTCGCAATACCATTGCTACAACCACAAATATCGCAACCTGCGATTTCAACAAAATTCAAGTTTGCATCAGCAGTCGACGAGTACATATTTGTGAAGTTACAATTGCAAATTATACCTTAACATTAACAATGAATATCAAACATTTCCTGGACAAGTAAAACACGAAAGCAAGGAGAGGGGAATTACCTGAGATTTTGAAGACACATTCTGCACAGCCTTCTTGCCCTTTGTGCCGGAAACTTGGCTCACTAGGTCTGCAAGAATGCTGTCTAAGGACCATAATATAAAAGACCCAAGGGCCTCAACGGAACGCTGGTTGATCCAGTCAACTGATGTCTTGTAAACATCTTCAGAAATATGAGAAAGGGGGATCTGTTAAAAAAACACCACCAAGTGATTAGGTTGTCCAGGAGCATGCACACTTAAATTTGCTTCCACCAATAAGTCATTAAGCCCCATAAAATGGAGGCCACAAGCAAGAGAATCCGTAGAACAAGATATGTTACTTGCCCTAATTATCCATCTCGCAAATATCATCCTTATCATCACAGTATGTATATTAGATTAGTGCACTCTTTCAACAAATTATAAATTATCCACCAACCTATTCGCCTTTGAGGCCATAAATACCACCTCTACCATTACCCGAAATAATACGCACAGTTGTTTTCGGGAAGGACCGGAGTTATATTCAGAAGGAAGTATGCTGAAAATCGTAGGAACCATATGGAGAAGCCCCAAAAACAACAGACAAACAGCTAATCTCAACCAAACATCCAACAAGATCAACGAGGATCAAATTTGTTCAAATATATAACTAAGGAGAGAGAAGCTTTCCACGGATTTGTTTGAATATATATCTAAAGAAAAAAGCTTTCCGCAGATTTATTAGAATACATATCCAAAGAGGAAAGCTTTCGACGAAATTTTTGATATCATTAATATAAATGCCATTTGAAATATTGAACAGAAAAGAGCATAATGCACAATGGTAATGGTTCACATGCAATTCAACCCCGAAAACAGATATTCGACCTATTAATCAATGCATCAGGTATTTAAACGAATAAATTTCAAAACTTACATCGGCAAGCTTGGCCACCGATGACTCCTTGAACATCTTCACCCATGGAAACTGAGAGGCAGACACCGCAGAGAATGCACGGCCGAAATAGTCCGCGAAACGCATCAGCTGTATGTCCTCCTTCGACTCGTACGACGCCTATTGCAATTCAAAATCCCCAAATCAATTAAAACATTTGGAATTTTAAATCGAATTCAGTTGAAAACGAATAGATCGAGCTAGATCAGAGCATAAAATTCACCGAAATGTCAATGAGGAATGCAGCGAGATCGTTCGCCTCGTCGATCTTAGCCGCCGCCTCGGCCAGCGTGACCTTAGGCTTCTTCGGCTTCTTGGGCTTGGATTTCTTCGCCTCCTCGGCCTTCACGTTCTGCGCCGCAGCTTCATCATCGCTATTATCCCCATCCTCGTCGTCGGACCTGAGCTTCGATCTCGCCGGAGCAACATCGTCGAGGTCGACATTGGCCCTCTGAGCTTCGAGAATCCGCCGGCGCCGGTCCTCCGACTGTTTCTCCAGCGACCGGAAAACGCCGTTTCCGTTGGCGCTCGCGATGCCGGGGACGAGCTTGTTCTGATTGTTGATTACTTCGGCGTTCGATTCCTTCTTCTTCCTCGGGCGCTTCGCGGTGACCTTCTGCCAGCCGTGGTCGTTGTTGGCGTGGGCGTGATGGGTACTGCTGTAGTCGTTTGCAGCGGTGGATGCGGCGTCGAGGTGGTCCCCGTTGGCGATTGATTCGAAAGCTGCAGCGTGATTTTCTTCCATGATTTGGCTGTTGGTGTTGAATTTTCTCAGGAAAATTGAAAGAGAGAGACAGAGAAAGGAAACGGAACTGGGAAAATTGAGAGAGAGAGAGAGAGAGAGAGAGAGAGAGAGAGGGAGAAATGAATAGAAAGTTGGCTGGTAGGAGTGATTTTAATGGGGTTGACTGGATGAATCTGACCCTTGATTTAAAATAAAATTACATCAAATACCAACCGTTTGGATTTGTAATCCGAATCTGAAAATAATTAGTAATTGATAAATCAATTAGTCCTAATCTTTTTCGTTGTCGGATAATTAGTCCTAATCTTTTTCCAATTAACTGGGAATATGGGTTGGTAATTGGTTTGCCATATTTGGTATTACCTACTATTCCAAAATTGATTTAACTCATTTATTAATATCATAACACACCTCAAACACTCTATAATTTATAAAATTGATTTAACTCATTCAACGGTGAAGTGACATTTACTTTGTTGGGATGACATGTCCTGCTAAGTAGATATGTGTTGAGCAACTTGTTCAACCCTAATTAGTCAACGATATCACTCCGAGCAGCGGCTTAACCACTTTTACGTCTCGTCCTAAACTTTTGCTTTTGATTGGTGATTGACTTGTGGCCTAATTAGTGTCTGAGTAGGCCTCCTCCTAAAACCTTTTGCAATAAAGTTGTTAGTCTTTCCACATGTCTTTGGTTGTTGAAAAGTCCTTTCTATTGCTTAATCGGACCAGGCTAGTGGTGGTGCTTGGATGTGCCCTCTTTATAATTCCACTGGGCCTTGGGTTTCTTATTATTTGTTGGGCTTTGACTTTTATTACCTCTTTTGAAGTCTCTTTCTCGGCCTGCACTATTTTAAGGGTCGAAAATGACCTTATATTAACAACTATTTTGTTGTGTTAATAACAAAACTATTTCCTTTTGGTCATTTGCCAACAATGTTCGGATTTTGTAAAGTTGGATTAATGTAATGGGGGACAACCTTTGCTTAAGAGGCAAAACAGGTGGACCAGTTTATGGTTAGTCATGACCTCGCAAAGCAACTCTTGATTACATTCGAGTAATCTTCCTCCTTTTTTGTTTGTTCTTGATTTACTAATTTTTGAACGAAATTTGTAAAATTGAAAGAAAAAGAAAGAATAGCATTTTTGATGGAGTAAAATGCATCAAGAACAAACACACAAACAACAAGGTAGAGGTTCTAACTCGAGTTCAAACTCTCACGAATTCATTATTTATAGTCGTTTATTTTGTTTTGTCGTACGGTTTGATTCAGAAGAAGAAAAAGTACATTACCGCTTCTCTCCTGGTGTGACACCACAACAGCATAGAAAGAAGGATTAGTGAACTGTGCCGGAGACATAGACAATTGTAAGCTTCACTTGGAGACTTTGAGTTGCTATGCGACTTTTTTGCTTGCCATGTCGAAATTGGGGGTTTGATGTCGTTTTGTCCTCCTTTGTTGTTGTCGTTTGTTTTTCTAGGCTGTTTGGATTGGGCCTCGTACTTGTGTTATATATTGCTGTCGGCCCGAAAACAAGTAAAGAAAAATGAACTTCCATATTTACCCATTTGGCTTATCGACAATTGCAATCGTGTCATAACCTAGTGCCACTGCAAGTCGCCGATCAGTCTTTCTGCGAACTCTCGCCGCCCCAACAGCCTTGCTCTGCCGCCGACGCCCCTCCGTCCTCTCCCTGTCAGACTCCCGCCACAGAAGCGCCGCCGCTGAATTTGGGTCCTCCTCCTCAATCGTGTTAGCTCCTTTCCTGTACGGGGTAAGTTTCTCACTGGCATTATAATCCTTCTATTTCCTAGCCTCGTCGATCTCGCGTTTCTTCCTCTCCTCAGCCAATCCCATCTGCAACGGAATCTAGCAGAGAGGCTGTCAAAAGACAGCCGTCGGATTGCTGTGCTTCGCGCCACTCCTTCTCTGCGGGTTTGGTTGCTGTGCTTCGTGGGGTGGAGCTCGTCGTGGCTTTCCACCATTCATGTTAGAGAGGTCGTCAAACGAGCAAGCCTCCGAAACCCCTTCATCGTTTTGAATCCCTTCACCACCAAATCCCATTTTAACCGAACAAGAAACTCCAAAAGCCCATCATCTTATCCCCTTCACTCCCTAATCCCATCATTGGCTAATCCCTTGGAGCCACCAAATTCCTCATCCAAACGAATCCTTAGGGATTAGGATTTAGGGTTTAGGGTTTAGGGTTTAGGGAAAAGCTTAGCTGAACTAAGCCAAGTTGTTGCATTAGTTATTCCATTTGAGCTAGAATTTGTTTGTTTTTTTCGCCCCAGCGGTGTGAATTCGAAACTATAGCTGCGTATTAGTAAGTGATAGAATTGTATCAAGAGAGTTCCAAATGTGAATTTTATGAATTTAATTACTGTCTGTTGACCTGTTGCGTTTTTATGCGTCCCAAAGTGAATTCGGTTCATGATTGATGTTGTACTTCTCTATAAACGTATAAATTTTGTGTGCGTTTATTTTTTATCGGTGATGGTATGTAGGGGATATGTTTTACTTTCTCAGCTGTTTGGAGGTGGGAATTTTGTTTTTTATTGTATGCTGAGCTGACCTTCAATCTCAATGACCTGAAACTTACACAACAGGTTATCGAGATGCCTCGTAAGCCGGCAAGGCATTGCAGGTATCAGCCTCTGACATTTTCCCCATTTGCGCGTCACATTGCTCACGTTGCCTCCGGCTTCATGGACAACCGCCGAAGGCATGGCAGAGACCTCCCTGAAAATTCACTACCTAATTCCACAGGTATTACTAGGTATCACACTATAATTAACCCTCCTATGTGTTAAATGCTTCGGAATGGACATACGTATCTCTCCTGTCATGCTTTTCAGGTAATGGTTGGATAAAGAGACCTTCGGAAATCAAGAAAGAACAGTCCACGTCTTCTGATGAAGAAGAGTTTGATGTGAGAAAATTCTTCTTGTACTAATTTTCCATGTTAATGGATGGGGAATTCTTACTGTATTTGAATACCAGAATAACTGAGATACAAAAGTGATTACTCATTCATATCGTATCTATTAGTATTTTTATAAGAATTTGGTTCTTATCTTTGAAGGGAACTGTCCAAGCAGATTTTGCTTTCTTTGATCCAAAACCTGACGACTTTCATGGAGTGAAGATGTTGCTTCAGACATACCTTGATGATAAAGAATGGGATTTGAGTGGTTTTGCAGACTTAATATTGGAACAGACCACTGTAGGAACTGTTGTTAAAATAGAGGATGATGAAGATAATGGAATTTTCGCTCTTGCTACTGCCCTTAACTTGGAAAGATACAAGGCAAGTGATCTATACTCTTATTTAAGTAATTCAAATGGCTACATCATTCTGCCATTTATCCCTAGATCGGCATGTTCTTTAGCTTTACATAGCTTTTTTCCTACTATTTTTATCTTTTACAAGTGACAGTTTATATTTTGGCTCTTCCTTTTCCTACTATTTGGATCCTTGAGTGTGTTTATTTGATTCTTATTAGGGCCATAAATGTATTACGGAGGTTAAGGAGTTTCTCCTTAAAGTATGTCAAGAGAAGGATGTGAAAGATGACCTGAGATCACTTTTGGGAAAGGAAGCAAAGAGTGTGGGTCTTTTGGTCTCTCAACGGGTGACAAATTTACCTCTGCAGCTCTTGCCACCTCTTTATGATGCGCTCTTTGATGAAGTCTCTTGGGCTACAGAAGATGAGGTTAGATTCGATGATATAGGACTGATGAGCTTATGTCTATTTTCATACATGCTCGGAACAAATTCTTCTAACTAACATTTTTTTGTTTCACCTTTTGTAGCCAACAGAGGAGCTCCAGAATTTCTTTCGTTTTAAGGTTTACATAATAGTCAGTAAAGTCTACAAGGTATGCCATTTAAGCTGAGTTCTCTCTCTCTCTCTCTCTCTCTCTCTCTCTCCATCTATTTATTTCGTTTCTGGATGCAAAAATACAGCTAAGAAATGCACACCAGAAAAAGGGCGTGAGTGTCAGTGAAGAGCCAATAATATATATAAAGCCAGAAGATGAAATTTTTCACGAGGTACTGATCATTTGACATAAGCAATGTTCCATGTTCCTTGCGTTTCATTCACTAATTGTTTTCTTAAGTGCATTTCAGCTGAGCACCTGGTCCTTCGAGTTTCCTTTGCACACTGAGCAACCAACTCTTGAGGCAAGTAGTAGTATTGGCAACCTGTTGATTTTTTATATATATCCTGAAGTTACTATATGATATGTCAACAAGGATTGAAAAAAATAGCTTGGAGTATTACCTGGACCATTGCTATTAAGTCCACATCCCACACTTCTCTCAAATAGGTCCTAGCATTTTCACGACACCTAAACCAAAGTACCTTGCTGAAGACATTCAAACTATCACAGATATGTCTAACTTTTGGTGATGCAATTAAGGTTGATTGCGTGGTTGCATGTACGGCTTGATCGTTGTGATATTGTCGTCTTAATGACAATCTAACCATTTCTGTATATTTTTCCTTTTTAACCATGCAGCTAAGAAACTATCAGCAAATGGGACTAGTCATGGCTGTTAAAGCAGACCGGATCCCAACGTTCCGACAACAGATAAAATCTCTAGTAGATGAATCATGATTCTAATTGAAAGGTTTAGCAAATTCTTTAATTAAGTGCCTTATTTATCATCTCTAAACTCGTCTTTAATGGATGCCATGGTTACTGAGATCATCCTAACTGCATTATCCCGTTGCAGGTGTCGCAGGTGCCTAATTTTGATGTCTTTCTGCCCGTGCCTGAGACGGCCCCTCACTAGGTTCATCTAAAAAAAGGTGAAACAATGAAAAGCATACATGCATTGAGGAACTTGTCATGTCATGTTATTATCTTTGAGTTCTATCTGAATCGAAAAGGAAATGGCAAAACAACGAAACCATCTGCATTTTCTTAGAAGTGGAACTTAGCTATAAGAACAAAGAAGAGCACCATTTTTGTAGAACTATTTTGTTAGTTTAAGATTTTTTTTGGGTTATAAGAACAATATACATGGATTGTTTTGTTTGAAGTTCTATGCACACAGATAGCGCATAATTACATACACAATGTAGTCGATGCCTTCTGTCCAAACCCCCCCTTGCTCAATTATTTTTTTTCAAATTTTAATTTAATTTTTGAAGTATTACCCTTTTTAAGTATATTTTTAATATTTTTATTAAAATTGATATTACTATTCTAAGCTAGAATAACGAGATGGGGACGGTTTGAACTCGGAATATAGTGCTTCACATGGTTGATCAATTGATTTAGTGTTATGATTTGTTTTCTTTTGCCTTGTTTCTAGACCTCTAAATTTACCTCACACAAAATGCAAAAAAACTCGAATTTAATGCACACTATTTTAACAAACTTGACTATGTCAAATCTTCACATGTCGCAAGTTTTAAGTTTCCGTATTTCTTAATTATCATTTTAAGAACCGAAATCAACCATATATGATAAACATGTCACATTGACACAAAAACTTGCACGTTGGATTGGATAGGTTCGCAAAAATTTTACCTAAATTTATGTACCAAGCATCCGATTGACAAAATATAAATGTGGATGTCTACATACTTGCCACTATCCATAAACAATTTGTTAGGTTTTTGTTTCGTTACTTGGCCTATAAAACAATGAGCAAATAGAAGGAACAAGTGCATAAGGAGAGAACATACGGAAAGTAGTACGGCTGCCCTGAGGACATTGGCACACTTACCGAATCTTGTCAATATTGTGTTTTATTTACTTTACATTTCACTGCACACATATGACGCCCACGTCAGTATCCGCCGCCACAGCTTCTGGCGGTGTTGGGGTACAAGGTTCGGTCTTCGGACATGGCGGATAATTCTCATAAGCTTGAGAAGCTTGAAGAATTCACTGGTTGTGTTCAGGAAGATGGACTCTCTCTGCTCGCTTCCGACACCGTTCACTATAACCCGTCGAATCTGTCGACGTGGGTCGAGAGCATGATGTCGGAGATAAACGTCCCGCCTTCTAATTTTGATCCTTTAATGGGCGGCGTTGTCGCCGGTATACAGCCTAATCAGCAGCAAGTCCAGCTCGTCGACGGCGCGTTTTTAGCTTCGGAGAAGTCGTCCATCTCCACCGTCGATTTCCAGGGTCAGCAGAAGAGCAACCCATTAGCACATCACCTCTCCAAACTGTAATCGAAGACTGCAAACTTTAAAGAGTTTTTTTTTTCTTTCTTTCGTCTTGTTTTTGGTCGTAAATCTAAAAAATGTGCTTAAAATAATTGTTTTTAGTTGTAAACCTGGAAGATGTGCTTAAAGAATCGATCTTTATTTTTCACATTTACTTGCAAAGTTAACTCAAATAGTCGATGGCTTAGTGTGTGCGGCAATCTATGTCAATTAGTAAGTCGAGTTGAGACTTCAATTTTAAATAGTGACAATTATCATTCTATCAAACCGTCAGATGCTTGATACTATTACATAAGCATAGCTTATTTAAATTTATGAATATATAGTATAAATTATCTTATAATCTAAATAAATTTATCATTACGCAAATTCATAATTGTGTTTTATTTACTAAAGAAAAGAGAATATGCGTTTTTCAATTGGACATGCATTATTTGGGAACTTGAAATTCAATCCATGTGGTTCTTGCCCAAACAATTGACTACCGGAGGTTAAAGAGTCCATAGTTTGGCAAAATTTTCTTTTCTGGGCCTCTAAATTTAATTTAAACAAAATGAAAAAGGACTCTAATTTAATGCACATTATTCTAATAAACATGACTCCGTCTAGATGTTCGCATGTTGCAAGGTTTAAGTGTCCGTCTTTCTTACTCATTAATAACCGAAATCAACCATATATGATCAAACATGTCACTTTACACAAAAACTTGCATGTTGGATTAGTTTCCACATTAGTGAAACTTTGTCATCGCTAAAAAGCAAAGCAAAGAAAAAAGAAAGATTGGATAAGTCCAGGGCCGGTCCTGAGAATTTAGGAGCAGTAGGCAAGTTGAGTTCTATGACTTCCGTCTTTTTGTACATTGATATGTATAAAAAAGAATTATCTAAATACACGAAAAAAGTCTGTTTCTACATCAAATTTTATCAATAAAATTAAGATTCAAGGGATAAAGAAATATAAATATTACTTAAATATTACAAGTTTCGCATTTTTAAACGTGAATGTCTAGTTAAGTTTACGTAATCTAATTTTTTAACCAATTCTTTTTCAATTGACAAAATAGCTAACTCATTCAATATTTCTTGTGACATAGTTGATCGAAGATAAGATTTGATCAACTTTAAATTTGAAAATTTTATTTCCACATAAGCTATTATAACTGGTATGATTAACAAAAATCTATAAGGACTCAAAGACTCATAGTTTGTAAACTTTTTATTTGAACAAACACAAAGTTTGTAATATTAACTCATATATATAATAATAATATAATAAATAAATGGGGGCCCTAGGCAGCCTGCCTACTCCAACTATCCTCAAGGCCAGCCCCGATAATCCACATTAATTTTACCTAAATTTATGTACCACGCATCTGATTGTAGAAATATTTTTAAGTATCATACAATTGGTTAAATACTTGCAAAAAAATTTTAACTACTTGTATTATGATTTTTGATGTACCGGACCATGTTTATAGCACACTGAATTTTTTTTCAATTATATCCAATTGGGCCCGATTAATGGTGAATTAAAATGGTTAATTAATAGTAAACCACGACCATAATGAAGAGATGCATTAACTTTCCGACGCGGCAATCACTTATGGTAATCCTTGTATGCCCCTGAATCTCATCATGTCAACATCTTAATTAAGTGCACATCAAGCCACCTAATCGATAATCAACAACGTTAATAATAATACTTAAATGGACGTGTCCTTGCTAAAGGAACAGTGTTCTCTTCCTTCTCTTCCCTTGACCTTTAACTAAGTAAAAGTAAAAGTAAACCCCGTAATCAACTAAACTTTTCACTCAAATGAAATCACGTGACTTCTCTTTTTAGATGTAACATTGTTGTATTGATAAATGTAGTTGCTACTGTAGACATCGAAATTTCGTAAATAAATGTTGACCGGTAAATCAAAGTGTCAACGCTCATGTATTACATAAATTTTACACGTAGCGTGTGACTCAACGAAAATTGAAATGAGTTGGAAAAGTCATCAAATAGGACACGTGTCAACACCTGGCAGAAACGACTTATTTCATCTGGAATATTATATTCAAAATTAGGCCTTGGAAATTTCTATAAATACAAGCCTATTTCATTCATTTAAAGGAACCAATTCATATTACACCTTGAAGCTCTAAAGCTCTGAAACTCCGAAGCTCTCAAGCATCCAGGTTCCCGAAAAATCAAGAAAGCCTTCTTCGTTCTTCGTTCATCGTTCTTCCAAGATCAAGCCCCGACGGCCCTTGAAGAAAGTGTTCTTCGTTCATCGTTCATCGTTCATCCTAAGATTAAGCCCCAACGGCCCTTTGGATCAACAATCATCCACCAATTCAAGATCAAGCCCCAACGGCCCTTGAAGAAAGCACCATCGTTCATCATCCGTTCATCCAAGATCAAGCCCCGACGGCCCTTGGATCAACAAACATCAACAAATCCACACATCCAATCGTTCTTCAAGATCAAGCCCAAAAGCCCTTGAAGATCCGTTCATCACTGTTCTTCAAGATCAAGCCCAAAAGCCCTTGGAGATCCGTTCATCACTGTTCTTCGAAGATCAAGCCCAAAAGCCCCTTTGAAGATCCGCTCAAATCCACCTTCAAGATCAAGTCCACAGCCCTTGAAAAACGTTCATCCTTAGATCAAGCCCCACGGCCCTTTGGATCAATCGCACATCCACAAATCAACACCTTACGGAGATCGAATCAGAGGATCAAAATAGAGAGAGATTGTAACCCAAAATCATCAAATACAAATATTTGTTTGTGCACGTTGTTCTTGTCTCTTTCGTTTCAGGAATTTTCCGTGTTTACAAATTGGCACGCCCAGTGGGACCATCTCTGCCTCTCATCTCTTTCTCCGTTCAAGAAATTCAAGTGCACTTCAAAAATTAATGGCATCAAGGAAGGCTCAAACTGTTCCCGCAACCGGCGCAAAGAACAAAAGCGTCCTCGTCGCAACTGGTGTCACTTTGGGCATCACGACTCGAAGCATGGCAAGAGCTACTTCTGCCACCTCTTTCACCTCTGCATCAACTCTGCCAAGGGAACAAAAGCACCCAAGGCACGAGCCTTTGATCACCTTAGCCTCACTAAGGGCACCAAGGGGGGAAAGCCCAAGGAAATACTCCGAATCCATGCTCTCCGATGCCGATTCAAGCGACAGTTCAGCCATGCAAGTCATGACCATTGGAGCAACTTCAATCGATGAGCAGCTGGCTCAAATGAATGAAGCAATCGCAAGGCTAACCCGAACTGTGGAAGAAAAAGACTTGCAAATTACAGCACTAGTCAACCGATTGGAGGCACAAGACGGTGATAAACCCGACCCAGATGATGATCCACTAAAGGGAGGAGCTGGCGGAGACGAAGAACCCCCGGTGAAGAAAATCGATGGGAAGCCGGAGCCAGACCAAGCAGCGGCACTCATGGGATCTCTTTCTATCCAGCAGCTGCAGGAGATGATCACCAACACCATCAAAGCACAGTACGAATGAAGCTCACATACCTCCTTGTTCTACTCGAAGCCCTATTCTAAGAAGATTGATGCCCTAAATATGCCAAGGGGTTATCAACCACCAAAGTTCATGCAGTTTGATGGAAAAGGAAACCCAAAGCAGCACGTTGCACATTTCGTCGAAACTTGCAACAACGCGGGGACGGAGGGAGACTACCTCACCAAGCAGTTTGTGCGCTCGCTGAAAGGAAATGCCTTTGAGTGGTACACGGACCTAGAGCCTGAGTCCATCAACAGCTGGGAGCAATTAGAGCGGGAATTCCTCAACCGCTTCTGCAGCACCCGCCGCACTGTGAGCATGCTAGAGCTAACGAGCACAAAGCAGTGGAAGGAC